CATAGAGATGTCAGTGGTGTTTGTGTCTCCGGCACAGAGTTGACACAAATCATCGGACCCGGCGCAGCAGGAGGCGTGATATTGCACTCACCGCGTCGTGCACAACGAACGTCTGGGGCTTATGCATCCTGCTGTTTGCCCGCGGCCTTAGTTTGCAGTATTTCACATAGGACATGTTGCATGGTTTGAAGTGATAGGGCCAGAAATGGCGTGTAAGCCATGACCCTGCGCGGAGCACTGACGGAGAGCTGGTTCGGACTCAGTCTGGTGCGCTGTCAACGGTTTCCTGTCCATCGTTAGCTTGTCGATCGGCGAAGCAATGCTTGACTCACATGTTCTGAAAGACGACACGGGAAAGGGCACCGTGGCTGGTGTATATTGGATGGAATGCATGGATCTTTGTTTCGGACCGTCTTTGAAGTCAGTCTAGTCTCGGATAGGGTCGCGCGGAGACAGACTTACCTCGACCGCTCTTCTGCATCGATATATTCAGGAGCGGACAGTGGTCGGCTGCTATGGTGGACAGATGTTCGCATAGGTACTTTGACTAGATAACCCAAATATGCTTCTTTGATCGGCTGGCATGAGTGACATAGTGGACCTGGTGGTCGTCGCGTCTCACAAGCACTTTCTAGCTTGTCGGTCCACGATGTAACTGTAGATGTCAATACAGTGAAATTCCAGTAGGTCAAAGGGAAGAACTTATCAGGAATCGAAGACCTGCTCGACTCTGCATAGCCAAGTGATGGTAATGGAGAACAAATTGCTGGGGGAAGAGGACGTATTTATACGTTTCTCGGCTCCTGTAGCACGCGGGCTCTACTAGAGAGCAAACGTTGAACACGATGTCTATCCGAAGTGAGGCCTGTTGCAACCCATGCCTTCATTCTACCGCAACTATTAGCAGCGAAATTCGTGGTGCGATCTTAGATGCTCATCGAGAAACATGCTAAAGTCATGTTGAAAATGAGTCAAAGTGAGTCGGTTAAGAAACGTTGGGTCACTGTTGAATCTACGGTCTTAATATTGAGGCAACGGAAGCTGTTCATTCTTTGATTTTACCAACAGCGCTCACATTTTTCGTCTAAGGATCAAGGATTTTTTTTCCTGGCCTCGCTCGAGTGTTGGTTGTCTGAGCTGTGTGTGGTTCTGTCCGTCTAGAAAGCGTCAGGCGGCGGTCGCGCGGGCGCGGGTACTCAACCCGTCAACCCGTTGAAGCTTGGCCGCCTTGTTGACGGGAGTCAACTTTTGAACTTGTGATCATGGTTGAGATAGATACCTTGTTTTTACGATTTTCTTTTTCAGTCCTCTAGATTTTACTCTATTTACTTTTGGGATTTCTGAGCTCTCAAACGAATGTGGAAAATGCGTTGTGATTGAATATATATCTCCCGGTCCGTTCATCACCGGAAGCCACTAATATGAGGCACATTCACCAACCATCAACACCACGAGACTGATCACCAGCACCATCATTAAACGGACTGCTAACAGAGTGCTGAGATTGAAATGCTGACTACGCTGATTGACTTTCATGGTGAAAATGAGACTGAGTACCTAGCCACCGATGTCTTCTAGTCTATAAAAGCCTCCAAGAATTAATGGACATGCTATTGCCCAGATACTCGACTTTCCCCTGCGATCAAGATGGATGCCCCTAACAGCACGCCAGACCAGGAAAAAGAAGGAGAACA